GGAAAAAATACGATGTGAAGAACCATCCGATGGGATTATATTGCGTGAATAATCACGACCCGGTGTAGGTACGCATACAGTAGGTACGTAAAACGATCATATCTTAAATTGGGCAACAATTTTATCACATATTAAATTTTTATCCGGACTGCTCGTGAAGTATTATGCAGGTATGATTAACTTGTCTGTATAGTGTCTACTAGACAGTCTTAAATCTGTAAAAAAAAAAATGGGAAGGAAAATTTAAATTACTTTTAAAGTAATCTTGGAACGTACGATAGACGTACTCATTGTAAAAACTCGGGAACCAATTTGGATGTACTCTTTGAAACAACCCGGGAACAAATTCGGACGTTTCGAACATGGATATTCCACCCGTAACAACCAAAAAATTAAAAAGAGCTGATACTTGTAACGGGTGTGGCCACTTTTGTAGGTGGAAATTTGAGAAGGCAGTATATAGAGGAGAATTTAATTTATATTTTTACACAACGATTAATCATTACTAACGAAAAACGATTCAGAGTGGAGCTCAGTCAATCGTATTGCTTTTTCAACAACGTGCATTTTCATGAGAACAACGATTGTTTAAAAAATAATAAACGATTAAAATAATAAAAAAAGAACGGACATACTTCGCAAGTGGTTGCAAACACTGTTGTAGGTGGGAAGTCGGGAAGATAGAATACAGACGGGAATTTAATATATATCTGTAAACAACGATAAATCGTTATACACGAAAAAACGATTCTGAGCGCAGTTCAGTTGATAGTGTAGCTTTGTCAACTTACAATACATGGTATATATTATATTATGGTAAAATGATTACAATAATAATGTGCGTTTTCATGACAACAATGATTGTATAAAAAATATTAAAATAATAAAAACTTAAAAATAACAAAAAACTGTTGCCAAGAGCAACCCTATTTTTAATCTTTTAATCTTATTTAGCTTAAAGAACCAATTTTTCCTCATTTTTCATCTTAAAGCCAAAATGCAACAAAAAAGGTCTCTGCTAATGTTTTGTTTGGAATAAAATTTCTAGGAGAAAATTTGTTTACAGACAGAAAAAAAAATACACATCATAGTAAAACCAATAGACTTCTCGCGTCATTCAAAATTAAAAAAAAATAATTAGTATGAAAAGGTGGTCGGTAAAGAAGACAAACAGATCTCATTATAATATTATTATTATTAGGATCTGGGATTTCAATGCACCTTGAATTGTTTACTAAAATTGTTTGCACCATATTCCTTTTGTTAGAAATTCGTTTCAAGTATTTGTAAGAACGAGAATAAGACATTATTCGTTTTGATTTTTAAGTAATTTTCTTCATTTTAAATTCGTCGCATAGCGAGGGATCCATTGGTTTTGATAGGATGTATACTGTTGTTTTTGTGTCTGTAAACAACCTTTCAATTTTTCTCTTAGAAATATTGTTCCAATGCATCAAGAGTAGTAACTTTTCCGAAAGGAAATTTTGTTTAGTTGGTGAAATAATAAAGTTGTTTTTTTTGATTTTCAAAAAAATTTTTAAAATAATTAGGAAATACCGCAAAGAAAATTGTAGATAAAAAGGCAAATATTTACAACGCGCTACGATGTTATCTACCGAAAATACTGCTTCAATAGATAAACGACAAGAATCCTTTATTATTGAAATTCCGATCTAGATGCTCACGAAGAAAGTAATTTTTTTGATTTTCCAAGTAATTTTCATAGTCATTGGGAAGACAGGAAAAAGACGAAAAATGAAAAACGAACAACGTTTACGGCGTAAGATTTTATTATTTTAAAATGTTTACGCTTTACGTATTTTACCGAAAATATTGCTAGAATAGAAAAACAACAAGATTCATTTTTTGTTGTATTTTTAATTTTTCAAATAATTGAGTAAAACCAAAAAAAAAAAAAAAATGTAGAAAGAACGGCAAAATTTACGAAATGTATTATTTTATTATTTTCAATTTTTTTTTTTTTTGGTATTTCAATTAAAAAAATTTTTTTTTTTTTGGTATTTCAATTAAAAAATTTTTTTAATTGATTTTTATTTTCATTGTTTTTAATTTTTTTTCTGTATAAAAGCTTATTTTTTTCAGTACATTTTCAGAGTTTTATAATGCATTACGACATTGCGTTCCCAGCCCTAATTATTATATATCGTTGATTTAGCAACGTGCAACATTTCGAAAGCGATTATTTATGTTATTATTGACGATGTTCGTGTTTGCGGTGTCGTTTTCATTTTCCCGGCACATTGATCACGCGCGTATCGGATGGATAATCCGGACGATCGACCGACACCGAACGAACAAACATACATCCGTCGCAACGTTTAAAACTTTAACACTTTTACTATTTTCTCCGCGGGCCTAATTCGTAACTGCAGCTATTCATTCTTCACCGTGAGAATTTAATGGTGATATTGTTTTGCGGGAACGAAAGACAAAATTATTATGTGTTTACCTGCGTTTATAATTGGTTTTAAAACAAAATGCCCACTTGAGAGAATGCGACCCCACCCGTGCATTTGTCGTCTCCGTCTTCGTAGCTCGTTTAAAAATTAAAATATCGAGAAAAAAAACCGACGTATGAACACAGTTCTTCCCTTTGAACTCTGATAATGGGTCACAATTAACTTAACATATTAATAGAGAATTGGTTAGTCTAATCGCAAATTCGCTACACGTGTTGCGCGTTCGTAATACGACAATCGTTGGACGTTCGAGACAACAAATCCATATGTACGCATAGTGCGATACGCTCAACGCGATTTACTATGCGTAATGCAATAATATTGTCGGAACATGAAAACGATTAGATCGGATCGGAAATAAACTTAGATTTATGCAGCGCGTGTATCGTAAATATCTGACGAACTTAGAGAATTGATTATCAAGGTTTATCTGCGGTCTAGTATGTTTGTCGGCGCTCGCCGTTTTGACACCGCGCTGTCACCGACCGATCAATCAGTTTTGACAGCAAATTATGTATTTAAAATCGTAATATTTTTCGTATAGCATTTGTGTTAACATAATATAATTTTGTAGTTTATTTGATAAAAAAAAAAAATAATTTATTGAATATAAAAATTAATAGTACATTTTAGAAATAAGTACAACAAATTTAATTAAAAAATGAATGCCGTCGTTTAAATTAACCTAACAAAACGTTGTTTGCAATTCATCTTAAAAACAGTATAATTTTATTTTTATTATCGTTGTTATTTTTTTTTTTTTTTTAGCATTACAGAAAAATTAGCATCATTACTATAATTTGAGATTATTCCTATGTCCCCCCTTTTTTTTTTTTTTTAATGTTTTATCAAATGATAATAACATCTATGTATATTAACTTTAGAAAATGCTTCATTAATTGCAAAAATAACAGCAATTTCAAAATTGATTGAAATAGAACGCCGCCGTAAAAATCCAGGATTTAAATTGATTAACGTTTGAAAAAATTGTCGATAAGTTTCCCCTTTTTTATTTCTTAATAGTTCGTATATCACTGGATGAATCCCATCCATATCCAGAATAGCCAGAATAATTTATACTTGAGGATACAATGAAGCCATGAAGGACTAATATAAAATGTACCATCAAAAATGTCTTAAAATGTTCTAAAATATTATACCCCATCTGTCTTCCAAATTCTAAAATTCTATTAGTTTTTTTCACTGTCAGCTAATAAAACTAATAGTTACCAGTTAAATTTTATTAGGTATATATAGATATTACTGTGCTCGCTAAATGCAATGGCATTATTTGTTACAAAATTAATACCAATATAATCGTAACATTACAATGTTTGATCAAATATTTATTATTATATAATTATATTTTGAAAACGTTTTTAAAAAATGTATCAAATGTATATAATGTGTATTTAAACAAAAATAACCATGGCAAAATGTAAATATTTAACAATAAATAGTAATATATTTTTAATTATCTAGTGGTTTCTTTAAAATCAGTAAAATCCGGATAATTTGTATTTCTTTAAAAATAATACTCGGATAATTCGTATTGTAAACTTAATATGTAAGTACTGAGTAAGTAGTTACAATGTATTAATTTTTGTATTCTATAAGAACCCACCGCATTGTTTAAATTTAAGTCGTCTAATTCGTATATTCATTTATAAACAATAATATTGGTATTGCCAATATTATATTAATCCGGTTGACTTCCGATGTATGAAGCGGTTAAATTCACAAACGGTTAATACTCGATTAATAATACTTAACATTATTTAATGATTTAGTTTGCATATTCATATACTCGCTCCACACGGAATATAAAAAAATAATTCGATACTGCCGTTGTATTGTACTGCGGCTGTAGATGAGAATATGGGAATTTATACGACTAAATATATACAGAGTAATTAAATTTATAACTGTACGCACTACGCAACGATCAATTTTTGCGAACGAACAACAATTTTGAGTGCATTTCGGTTAAGCATAACTCGAATGCCGTGATTTTTTCGGTATAAAATAAAATAAATAAATAATATTAAAGCTATTCCGAAATAATACTATCAAACAAAACCAACAGTTCGATTTATTAAAAAAAAAACGCGATTTCTTTTAACGAGATTACACTGTACGAATATGTAAAGTTGATTATATTTTCCTATAATTCTTCGGTCAAAAGAGTTAATGTTTTATTAGAGATGTTCGGCCCGTATAACAGCCATTGCGTAGCCGCTGTGGACGAGGTAATTATTGCATATTCGTTATTTCGAGAATAATAGTACCATCTAATACCTATGCACTATGCAAACGTATTGTGATTTTAATGTAATTTGATATAAATCTTAATTACCGACGAGATTCCGTTTAGTAATGACATCATCATATTCGTAGAGAAAAAATCATAATTACACAGCGATCGATGATTATAAAACATGCTTGGTCAATTACCCAATCATTTATATAATAATTTCGTTCTACCGCAGGGATGTTTATGTTCCCAAAACATTATTCGAAATGGCAGGAAATGCGCTTAACAAACTACAAGAACCTTTGAGTTGGTCGTGGTCAGTATCGGATGTCGGTGATTGGGTACAGTACGGGCTACGATTGCCGCAATACGTGGTAAATATTGTTATAAAATATCATATTATGTTATAATAAATATATACGGCTTGACGTTATATTGATTTAAACGTTTGGAAAATTATGAATAATGTAACTATCATTACCTATACGAGTGCTGCAAAAGCATCCAACTCGAAAATAACATTATATTAATTTATCATACTTGTTTGTAGCCCAAATTAAAACTAGGCGTATGATTTACAGGCTGCTTTCAAGGAGAACTGTATTGACGGTAGAAAATTAATTTTGATTAATTGTCAAACACTACCTTCTATTAATATTACGGACTTTGATCACATGAAGGTAAGAACTTTCGAGAATAACATATTATTATTATTGCATAAACACAGCGATGATGATACGTTTGAACAAGTAGGTTATCTATTATAACCTAAGTAGTTATTATAATTATTATTATTTTTTTTTTTAAATAATATTGTAAATTGTATTACTATCGAGCTGTATCAATCCAACCGAATGGAATAATTAGTTACAAAGTTTGAAAAATTAATCATTTACAAAATACATCTTGATCCGAACCGTGTGGAGTGCGCAGAGTAGAGGAAGTAATACACCCCCCCCCACCCCCATTATCTTAAAAATACAACAACTATGAGAGTATTTATTTGATATCATTATAAATTATAACATAATCGAACAATATTATCTTTCGGTCGAAATACGTTACGAAATTTTTTTTTTTGGTTGCATACGGTTCTGACCAAATACGACTCTACGTTATATTTTTAAAAAATACTATTTGTCGGCTAAACTACTGTTCTGATGAAAAATGTTCGGATATTTTACGCAAACCGTTTCTATTATCCCGCTCCACTGATCGTTACCATGCCGATGACGCCGAAAATGGCGTTTGTTTAAGATGATCTATTAAGACAGATCATTCGTATTCACTACAATTGAAAAAACTCCACTAAATATCTTAATCGGGTGCCCATTTCATTGACTTATAAATATATTTATAAGTCAATGTATATAATTACGACGTTCCGTCATTCAAATATTTATGAAGAACGAAATGCTAAACGTGTTTTTCTTATTTTAAACTTTAAAATAATACTATTAATATCGACTTATTAAATATTATAATTTGTAATTTATACTTGTTTCTATATTATAATTTATAATTTATACTTGTTTATAAATTGTAAACTATTGTATAATAATATTTGAAGTCCGTATTGAACACAGTTAAATTTCGTTTATATTTATTTATATATATACAGGTACAATTTTATAAATGTACTAAATATAATTTTTAAACTCGTTCTACTTGGTGTTCCTCAAGTGCAATTGCATGTAATTTAACTTAAACTAGGAATTGTGTGCTACGTATTAGACCCTATCGACTTTCATTTTAATATCTTTCCACATAAATATTATTTTTGTATTTTGTGAGACTACGATTTGTTGGCGAATCGGAACTTTTCTCATGATTACCAGATACCGGTTTACGCGTTAGCGAAACGAGTAGTCGGCGAGTCGAGCTTGAACCATTTAAACCTCGAAAAATCCTTCAAACCGTTAAAAATCAAACTTAACGACAAACCAAATTAATTATTACATCGATTATTACCAAAAAATATGTATAATAAGTACTATTATAATATATGATTGGTTGTTATAAATTCGAATATTTTTAAATTTGTCTGTAAACAACGAACAAGTAAACGGACAAGATGAGTATGAATTTCACACTCGCGAGGGGGCGTCATTTGAGAAGAGCAGGGTGTGCTGTTGCGCCCCTTATTTTTAATATAATCCAAATTGGCCTACTGAAATATTGCATTATTATTTATTACCTATAGGTTACAAATTAAAATTAAATTGTCTTTTAGTATTTAAATGATAGATGTATATTATACTAAACTCAAAAGTCGCCGGTATCCGCTTATTTAAAATATTATACATTTTTTTTTTTTAGATCGTTTTGTTTGTACAACAGTTATAGATATAAAGCTTTCTATTCATTATTTATTGGTTTTCATAGCTAAAGTAATCAATTTTTCACCATATTTTAGTTTTGAATTGATCTTTACTATTTATTTTGATGTAACTTATGGTCAATGAAGAAAATCAAATGCAGGATAGTGTGTATATAGATATTTCCATATGATCCGATGAAGTTTCAAAACTACTTGCTTGAAACCTTGCACTCCCAAAAAGAAAATATTATCATGACTCTATTAATGCATTATTTTTAATTATATACGGAGTAGGTAAAATTATTTGACGAAATGCGTTCGAAACAATATAATATTATAATATTTTTTGACAATAATTTGACGCGATTCTAAACACGAATCGTAATTTGTTGTTGAATGTTCATACACGCCACGTTAAGCGATTCGTGTTCTGATTTCGATTGCGTATCTAAACTATTTATGTATTTATCTGCAGGTAAATGTACACCGAAGGTTAAATGGACAATATTTTATTAATCCTACGTGTATCCTTAGAATGTGTATAGTCTCATCGGTTGCGCACAAACAATCGAATTACTTAGGTTCCTACTATACCTAATAATAATAATAATCAAATGCGTCATAATGTAAGAATAGCGAAACAAGATTTAAAAAAGACCATAATATAACAATACTCTAACGTTCACTATATGATTCATACGTAACGCACTTTGGTTATTTATGTGAAGATTAAAATACGAGATATTATAATATTATATGTGTAAAAAATACAAGGTGACTATTGTAATATACTAAAAAGATTCTTATTTAGGGTCTCGTTTCTATATCGGTGTATTGTATAACGACAATTATGACTAAACGATGTAGAATAAAATATTATACAATAATATATTCATTGTAAAATATGCATTCAATACATATATATGTGTACATGAGTAAATTAGTGGGAAATAAATCGTAATAAAAATAATAACATAACCTGTAAAATATGGATTTTCAGTCAACAAAATACAAAAAAAAAAATAATAATAAAATATTCTTTTATGGGCGTCGTTGGGATTGTAGTCCAAGAGCAATCGAATTGCGCACGATAAAAATTACACATAAATATTATTTAAACGATTTCAATGTAATTTTTCAACAAAAATATTCGTAACTGACAGTTATATCACGCGTGGTTTATCAGCTATCAAAATATTAAGCGTTTTCAGATAATAAACACATTTATCTGCGGCTTTTTCATATAGGCATACAGTCCCTCTCTACGGTATGTACCTATGAAGTCGTATTAATATAGATGGAATTTGAATGTAATGCTGTACCTATATGATCAATACTCGACTGTAAGAAATCGTAACAGATACCTTCATAAACAAATATTTAATTAGCTAACTTTAAAACGATACGATACGATTTTTCCTCAGAATTAAACTTCGTCTGTACGCTCCCCTAAAGTAACCCGTGTACGCGTTATTTCGAATTACAACCTGTTTACTTATGTTTTATGCACAAGTCCGTCTTTCGGTTAATCGCATCATATAAATGACGTCCTAGGATAATGGGGACGGGTGCAGCCACCGTTATGGATAATTCAATATATACCTGTAAGCAACGATAAACAATTGCTTATGAAAAGACGATTCTGAGCGGAGTTTAGTTGATAATGATGTTTTGTCAACAATTTATGTCATTTCATAGTAAAATAATTAAATAGGTTTTATATATTGTCTTCAATATTTGTTTAATGTTGTACAGATTTTCCCAGATTATTTAGTTTATTTAATGTTTAATCTTGTATCAAGATACTTTTTATTGTGGTAACAAGTAATACAATTTTGCGCTGAAAGATACAAGATTATTAAACATTTATTAGTTAAATTAACATAACGAAAATCCAAAACCATTGATAGTGTACAAAATATTTGAATGGTTAGATTTTTTTAACTAGAGAAACCAAAAAATGATCAGTGTGATTTAATAAACATGTAAACATATGTAATTTATATCGGTTATAAATGATGTTTAATACCAAACTTTATACTTATATTTATTATATCATTCAATTTTAATTTGTGCTTTTTATCCTAAAAATCGTTGGTCACTATGCACATAGCAAAATATTCGCCGCTGATTTGAAAATATGAAAATAAAAAAACGGGTCACTGTTGTTGGTGATAAATCGGGCAGGTAGAAGGGAAATTTAACGTGTATCTGAACGGTTAGTCATTGCTAACGAAAAACGATTCTGAGTGGGGTTGGCTTCCTTAAACGTCCACGCCCTAGTGAGTATTTCAATTTTCAGTACATTTTGCCTCGCTCTGTTTTTCAGTACATATCAAAGAACGTGAGGTGGCTGTACGGTCTGCCGCCGGACAACGATCGGACCGGAATCGGCCGCCGCCGGTCCATTCACGACATACACGGCCAGTACTACGAGCACCTGGTCAGACACGACTGCATGATAGCCACCGTACGGCGCACGACCGGTAAGACGTTGGCCACGGCGGAACGGGCGACTTCACTGTTCGATTACGCGCAGTCGGTGGGCCTGGTCAGCCGTCCACGAAGCCGCTCGCGGTTCGACGACGCGACCGGGGTGCACCTGTTGGCCAGGCTGCCGGCCGCCGAGTACCTGCGCGGTGGCCCGTGCGAGCACGAGGACCGGGCCGTGGTCCAGTTGCGGCCACAGTCGCCTCCCAAGTCCGGCCGAGCCAACGACAGAGTGAAAATCCAAACTGCGCAAACCGTGACCACGGCGAAACGTCCACAAGTCTTCTGACAGCGTCGATACGTTCGCGGTCGCCTCCTTCTGCTGATATATCGAATAAAAAATGTCCATTACGAAAAACCGCGTAAAATTCAATACGTGTACTGTAATATTGTTATTAGGTACGTAACACCGGCGCCCGCATTTCGTAAAATTCACTTAAAATCACCTATGCCGATAATTGTTATTTTAATCGCACAAATTGTTAATCGTAGTCTGATCACATTTTCAAAATTGTTACCGAAAATCGGGGCCACTACACCTCTCCGTGCACCCCGGTCCTACACCGTTTGTTCTCCGTACCTTTTTCTCGGGACCTTAAGGTCTTCTCTAAGCAATTACCAGTTACCTACTTAATTTTAGTAGTCAAGTCTTATTGATTTATTGCAGTTACTTTCATTTTATTAGAAAACTAAGTTAAGATACAAGTTACTCAAAGAAATATAAATTTATATATATATATATATATATATATATATATTTCTATAACTTTGAAAGTAAAAATACCGAATTTCGTGTGTATATTTCACAGATGTTATCGATTTATATGTTTTCGATCAATAATGCAATCCGTCGTTTATATCCTAATTGTACGTCACATTGCAGGTGTGCCGGAGATAATTTAGGTAAAAACGACTAGCTATGTAGATTAGAAATGTAATTTGCGCGCATTAAACTAAGTATAGGTAAACCGACAAAAATCACTATCGCAATAGTCCAATCCACGTAAACCATACTAAATTCCATTGACTTTCACGCTATTTGTGCGTTTATAGTTAATTAGAAAAAATTTGTATTCATTTATAGTTGTGAAACAAAAAATTCGTAGTATTTTACCAGTGAGTCATTTCAGTGATTCAACGGTGACCGTATTTTAAAGAGGTATATAAGGACCAATTAACTTTTGATAATATCGAATTATCAAACGAAATATAATAAGTTACGATCGAGAATAATACAATTTCAAAATGAAAATAATATGAATATTTCTATTAGTGCTGATGAAGCAAAATGTGTAATATACAGGCTATCCCACGAACTGTCACCACTTGAATATCTCCGGAGATAATAAAAATAATCAAATTTTGTTTTTTTTATTTTATTATTACTCACAGGGATAAGGACTACAAATATTTATATTTGAATTAAAAAAATTAAATTTTATTTTATCATTTTTGGAAAATTTTAAGATAGCCGTTGTATAGAATTTATTTTTCTGAAAATTATCATCTATCACACATGACACAAAGAGAACACTATTAGAACTTGAATTTGCTCGATTTACTTGTCTTTTAGTTTATTTTTTAATAATCAAGTCGAAATCTATAATTAATGAAATCTCTTATTAAATGGCACGTTAGCGTTTTTAAAATCGTAACGTCCTAATCACTTTCGAACGCGTAGTATGTAAAGCTTAAAGTGAAATTTACTATCTATTTTGACATAAACTTTTAAGAATATTGCTTACGTAGTATAATAATAAACTTTGAATATTTTGATACTTATCAATACAACTAAACATTTATAATTCCTTGGTTTCATAATAGTTTTGAAAATTTGCATTTGAACTTCCAATTTGTATAAAATAAAAAAATACTATGTAAATACGGCTCATAGAGTGGATCTATTCCTGATATCCCTTTGTCTTGGTTTTGATAAGATTTTGTTAGTATGAAGCTAACAATTGGAAATTGCTTGCTTTGAAAATAACTTCGAGATGTCTTTATTCCCTTTTTATTTAGTTTGATTGTTAACGACAAACTAAAAATGTTAATAATAGTGAATAATAGTTATTTTAGTTATTAAAAAAAAAAAAGACGAACATACTTCGCACGTGGGAGTAGTCATTGTTGTAGGTGGGAAGTTCAGAAGATAAGATACAAGATAGGATAGTGTTGCTTTGTCAACAATACAATATATGGTATATATCATTTTATGGTAAAATTATTACAACAATAATGTGCGTTTCCATGACAACAATGGTTATTTAAAAAATATTAAAATAATGAAAACTTAATAATAAAAACGGTTGCCGATGACAATCTTATTTTTTAACTCTCGATGTTTTTTTAACTATAAACCGAAGTTTTCCTCATTATTTCGAATATTAATGAGAATTTCAAGACATAACTTCTTTTGAGTACCACCCAGAGAACATTTTCTTTCAGAAAAGGTGCTATACTTAATAATCGGAGTATGCTTTCTAACAAAAAGTGTTCACATAAAAAAAAAAAAACAATGCATTCCTCGCTCCACTTAGAATGTAAAAACACTTAAGATTAATAAGTAAGTAAATGTAATGACAAAACAATTCAGAAGAAGTTTGGTTATACATGTTTTAAAAGTTCGTAATATTTATTATTTTAAACATTTTTATATAAAAAATAAATAATATATTATATTTATTTTTTTTTTCATTAAATACAACATATAATAAACCTGTCAAATAGTCAAGCATTTCGGTTTAGTCTAATTTTATTTACAAAATACATAATAAATAAAAATTAAGTAAAAGCTCGCAAAATTTAAATGTTTATAAATAGCTTAAAATGACTCAAATGTTTTCAATATTTTATTACGACATAATGTTTCTATCCAAATGTGTAATCTATAAACATTTTTAACTGAATTAAAACAAGAATAAAATATAATTTAAAATAACAAAAGTATTATTTTCGTACATTTTACTATTATTTTTACGATTTTTCGGATTTTCTCAATTATTAAAAAAATCATAAAACGACTTTATTGATCACCAACTAGATTAAAAATACAACAAAAAAAGATCTCCTATTGTTTTTCTTTTGAAGCAAAATGTTTAGTAGAAAATATAAACCGTAGAAATTTAAAATAAAAGAATCCTAGCGCCGTAAATATGACAGTTTTCATTTTTCGTAATACTCCAGTTTTTTTGTTTTTTTTTTTAAATCATGACCAAAACAATCAGAAAAATCAAAAACAAACAGCTTACTAGTGAACTAGATTAAAAATTCAACAAAAAATGTTCCTATGTCGTTTTCTGTTTGAGTGATATTAATGGCAGAAAACCTTAGCTGTAAAACGGATGATTGTCGTTCAATAAATAATCTCTATAGCAACAACACTATTATTGATGGGACGTTATCTTTTATTAACATTAACTATGTAACTTTGTTATTTCAATAGTTGTAATTATTATTTTGTTTTAAAAAAAGAAAAATGATGTAACTAATTGACTCGGATATTGTTTGACGTGTTTTAAATACTTACAAACCAAGACTAATTTTTTCATTCGAATGGACATATTAATATAATGCCAATATAATCTATGTGCATCAACTCACAAAATTTCAAGTTTGGCATACAAGGCTCCAAGTACTATTTTGTATTCCATACTCTTATGATGTAGGTATTTAATATTTTATCAGATCATTGTTATTATTATGTACTATATATAAATTAAATTATAGCAGCTGTTTGATTTTTTTGTAATGCTTTAAAAATTGTATTATAAAAAATATTAGCTACGAAAATTGTTTATTAATTATTCATTTATTAATTTAAAATAAGCGATTAATTCTCTGAATAATTTTTTGTAGGTACATATTATAAAAAATTAAGTATTGGGTTTTTTTTCTAAACAAGGTTCTGCTATCTTTTACTATAGCTAGAAGAATATGCGATTTTTTAAGTGTCAAGTGTTAAGCCAACATCTACTTTTACATATTTTTTTTTTTTATGGGATTTTACATACGGATTTTTTAATGTGTTTTTATTAAATATCAGTTGAAACTCCAATTTTACTTTAAAACTTTGTCAATTGTATTTAGACTTGGTGAATTTGGATTGTCATCACCTATAATTTGTATAGTATAAAATAAATAAAAAGCATTTATTCATTACCTACCATTATACATTATTTACGGTTTTGTGAATAAATTTTACTCAGATTGGAGCGTGAAAGCTTATAAGATTTATTCGACCTCTGGCGTGGCTTAAGCAGCCCGTAAGTCGATTTGTGTGATACCGTGTAGCATAAATCTGCCATAATCACGGATAACTTTAAAACCTATTTTATATAAATCATAACTCAATAGTATGGAAATGAATACATTTTTAAACTTAAGTGGCATTCAATAATTCGAATGTCTATAGATCGTGGTTTTTTCCGTTCATTATGAAAACTCCTAGATAAATAAAAAAATATCTTATCTAAAGTACCACACCAATCAAATTTCCTTTGAAAAAAAGTGCTTTGGAAATCGGAGCAAAATTTCTGGTAGAAAAGTTATTCACAGATAAAAAAAAAAATAATTAAAATCATTGTAAAACCAATACATTCCTTGCGCAGTTCAGAACCTAAAAATTACTTTCTCAATACACCAACTAGATCAAAAATGCTACAAGAAAATTCCTATAAAGTTGTTGATTGAAAAAACGTATAGAAAAGTTGTTTATAGGTACACAAAAAAAAAAAGCCAATACATTCCTCATCGTTTCACTAAGAATCTAAGAAAAAAAAAAAATGTACCTACGTGTATTATTATTTATTTCAATGACGTTGAAATATAATACATGAATACCTACAGGCTGCAATATAAATTCTCAATAAAATAATATGTTAAAAACCTTTTTGATGCTCAATAAACTACAACACTCATCTTGCTGTTTGATTTATTTCACACAAAACATCCTCGTTGTGTTGGTTACTGAAATATGTCAAACCCGGTCGGAATTTACAACCGATTACCTATCACAAATCGTGACCGTTTAACACGTAATTTTAGTGCATGCAATAAATAAACCGAATAGAATAATATTGCTCAACAACAACCGCGAACAAAACTCTCAAATTACAAATACTTACCTATAAAGTGAAAAAAAAATGTACACATATATTATATTATAAACAATCACGGATGACCCGATAGCTATAGTTTATTTTAGACGGACGCGTGATACGTTGTCGCTGTAGAATTATTGCGAGCGGACACGGCGACACTGTTAAGTGTCACCGAGCAATAATAACTATC